CTAAAATTAGTTTTTATTTAATATTTATATTATATTTAACATATAGAGAATACATCAGCTTGTGAAAGATTATTAAATTTTCTAATGTTTAAAATTTAAAATAAATGTTAATATCTATCATCAATCTATCAAATGATTAATTAGGCGGAAAATTCGACGATTTACCAATCGTGTTTTGTGGGAAAAATTTGGTTTACAAAAAAAAATTAAAATAAATGTTAATCTTCTTCTCACTAAAGGTTAATTATTTGGGATTCCCATCTTTTCAAGGGACGTCTTTTGTTCTTTTCAGTTTGTAATTTAGTACTTGTTTATTCGCTCGATTTTTTTTTATTCTTGTTTGTTTCCACTTATCCTGTATTCTTTCATTTTTTATTATTGATGAAGTAGATATTTAGTGCTTGTCTTACGCCTTCATTTCTCTGTTTATCGGGTCTTTGGTAATGCCTTTCACTCTTCCGACAAATTTCACTCCGCTAGCTTCGATTCTAGACTTCTCTATTTACTTTTACACCATATAACAGAGTAGGTGGTTGTGATTATTGTCTCATAAAGTTTGTAGCATTTTCGTTTCACCCCGTATATTATTAAAAGCAGAAAAATATTCTTACCTTTTCCGTCTCTAAAATTTATAATAAACAAATTATGTAGGAAATAAATAAAAATATTTTCACTTAATCTGGTGGGGAAAATGTATACTCGCAGGGAGAAGGAAGAAGTAATCGACCACTTTGATAAAAATTTTATTAGAAGTGCCGAGTACACTTATAGGTGTACACTCATTTTTGGTGGTAATGATGACAACAGTCTACACAAAAACCAGGATTTCCATCACAAGAACTGCAGACATATAGCCTCTCCTTTCTTTTCTTTTGGCTTCTGTACACTTTACATTCTTTTCCCGCAATTCTTTTAGTAAATTTTAAATCTCGATATTTTTCTTCCGTCGTTTCATTTTATAAGTTTGTAATCATTTGTTGAAAATTTTTTATTAGTCAAAATTTCAGATATAAAGGCTTCCGCAATATATCGGGTATAATTATATTAGGACAATTTAGATTTTTTGATTCCCCGGTATACATATTACATAAAAAGTATTTGTGAGACTCATTTGCAATATATGAACAAATATTTTTCTATACCATCTCAAACTTTTATGCACGCAAGGGTAGTATGCCAACATTTGATCATGACAATCAATGGCAGACATAAACTGATTATATTTGTCAATTGCCATCGACTTTAATTTTTTTTCTCTGCCTTTCTTTAATTTTTTTTGTATAATTTCCTTGGGATTCCATTTTCGTCGTTTATCTGAAGTACCAGTATAATAGGTTTCCCGTCCAAAAGTTGCACTGCAAGTTCATAACTTACTATCGTAAAATCTGTCCATGTATATCGGTCCATGTATATCGAATATTTTTTAAAAGGTGTAGCACAATTTTTGTTGTTTAACCAGGACAGTGGTTCGCTCAACACGTAGAGTTTTGGCGCTTGGTTTTAATATATTGTTTTATATTTATATAAATATATTTATGTTTATATTGTATTATTTATGGCGCTTGTTTTTAATATATTGTTTTAAAATCAGTCGCCCTAGCCAAGACTCCATCGACTTGTATCGAGGCGATCTATATTGTTATCATTGGTGGTAAAATGTAGACACTGCAGAATTATTAAAAATCGATATCTGGACATACTTAGAAGACTGAGTTTTGTAGTCCGTTAGATTCGGAAGTTGAATTATGCCAGATAGAATTGATGAGCCCAAGAATGTTTTTAATTCGAATACTGTCAAGTATTTCCACTCAGTTATTCTAGATTGCACTACTTGTGTCTGTTCCGAGAAAAGTAACTTAAGAGCATATTGGTTTGTGTTTTCCACAATAAAGTTCGACAGGCGTTCATCCAAAAATATTAGAAAGAAATCAATTGGATTCTGACTCGCAAGGTTAACTTTTAAGGAACGATTACCTTTGAATCAAATTTTTTTATCACTTCTTGACTGGTCTACGTTGGTAAATTTGTTGCCTTAGCATTGTGTTTGAGCATTTAGCATTTTTTAATCTCATAACAATCATCGTCGTCACTATCACTCTCGTCACTTTCATTTGTGTATTCATTGTCACTTTCTGGAAAAACATTATCTGTCTCATCTTCTGATTCCAGAATATGTTATAGTTCTTCCTCAGTTAGAGGTTTATATCGTTTACATCTTATATCTTCCTTGAATTCCAAAAGGTCCAGCATTATCGTCCATTTTTTCCACAAAAATTTTACACTGTCGTCACTAACCAAACTTATATCTGTATTATTTAATATTTTTCTGGTAGTTTTACTATAAAATTAATCAATCCTATATATAGGTAAATACTCTCTCACTACAAGTATGTCAACTCCTGACGTCCGCTGAAATATTGCTAGCAACCAACAATATACTATATTGAAATACATACAGATATATAAACCTGCCGATTAATTTTCAGACCCATCTATCCGATGCCGGCAATATAAAATTAACTAAACGGTAAAGTTTGTTTAGCAGAAAATGATTGACTTCAATTAGTGCGGTCGTAAATTATCTGACTTGGCCCACTGTTAAGACCTGTCCAGAGCGATAAGCAAACGAGGTAGACCAAGTTGGTCTTTTGACAATTAACACTGACTAGACGGTACTCCTATAATAAAGCGAAGGATCCACAAAATTTACAATAATTACAACAAAAACAAAAAACGCATGTAAAATATATTGCTTTGCTGTATATACCCGAAATTAATGTTTTCAAATGAGTATAAATTAAATTTATTTTAATTGCTAAGATTACAGAAAAACAGATATTAATAATAATTTGTGGTTCTGAAAAGAACCGTTTTTTTAATCGTAACATTTGTAAATTTGATGACAGTATCGCTATCCTCATCTAAATTAATTATGATCGGTTCAATTATATTATGATCTACATGAACATATGAATTTTCTTTACTTATTACGTATCGGGCGGAATTTCTCCAACTACTTGGAAAAATATCATTGACACATTTTCTTATTAACAACTCTACAACAGTACTACCTAACGTTGGAGAAATATTTTCTGACCTCACATTACTTCAATTCGTGGCACATATTTTCTATGGGATTAAACATACAATAATAGGGTGTAAGCCGTAGCACTGTATGTCCCATTTCCTCTACCAATGTATAACAAACATAGACTTTTTTTTGTAAATGTCTTTAAAACTTCTAAAAGCTCTTGTTTAGTGTAACATTCTTCAAAATACAAAACATTCGTCTCCATGTAATTTTGAATTTCCAATTTAGTAATTACTATTACGCTATTCTGAGGAATTTTTGACATAAGATTATTTTTAAACCATTCTTCAAAAAGTTCTGCCGTTGTATCTTCGTGATAGTCGACGCAGAAGTCTTTAATATTCTTTGCAGAAAGCCACAGGGCATTTGGAACCCAACCATTTTCTGATTAAGCATATAAAATCGTTATACTTTTCCCTTTATTTGACGGAGCTTTTATATTACATTTACCGGAAAAATTGGCAAATTCTTTAGGTCACGTTGAATGTGTGTCAAACCATGTCTCGTCGAGGTAAATTATCGGACGATTTTCAGAACGGAATTTTCTTATCGAAGTTATAAATTCATAACGCCATTTTTATAATCTATGGGATTCCATAATTACTTGTCTTTTGTCACTTATACGATATCGAAAGCCCATAGGTTTTAAAATTGTTCATAAGCTGGTGAGGCTACAGCTTATTTGTTTCGTCAACATTGAGCTGTTGCTTAAAAGCTCTTAATGTAGGTATGCGTTGATCTTCGTACATGGTATAGACTTTTCGACGTATCAATTACTTATCGGTTTTGTCCATACATTTGGTAGAACTGGAATCTTTACGTTTTTTTCTTGTTTCCATGGAATTTGATGTAATTCTTTTTAGTGTGGTCAGAGGTATTTTCGTCAAATCGCATATTTCACTCGTAGCGAAGTTATGTCAAGTCTTCTTTTAAGTAAGATACTCTATATTATAGTTTTTACAATTTGCTTTTCATCTACAGATAAATGTTTTTTCTTTACCCGAACACTAGAAGAAGCCCCATTATTATTATCCCACATACGATACGCCACATAATGATAGAAAACGTAATGAATAAAATAAGTAATACCACTTCCCGTGATACATAAAGACAAACAAATTTCATCAAGAACTCGTATTTAAATACTGGTTGGTGTTCAGTTCCATAAATTTATTATATAAATACCTGAAACCACTTAAAAGGTGATTAGCAAACCCGCCGCGCACTACCATCGAATTCGAAAAACCCCCTTATCAGTACAGTTTTGTCAATATATGCCTTATCTGTATTAATGAATTAGGACTGAATGAATATAGATAAACTAGAGGCCTTCGAAATGTGGATATACAGAAGAATTTTGAAAACACCTTGGATAGACAAAATAACAAATAAATAGTCTAGTTCTTCGAAGAATGAACAAAGAACGGGAGCTATTGATCACCATCAAGAGAAGAAAGCTGGAATATCTTGGTTATGTGATGAGAGGAAAAAAGTACCGATTGCTCCAGTTAATTATCCAAGGAAAGATTCAGGGCAAACGAAGCGTGGGGAGACGACGTATATCTTGGCTGCGCAATTTAAGAGACTGGTTCCAGTGCACATCTAACCAATTATTTAAAGCAACAGCTTCAAAGATATGAATAGCAATGATGATTGCCAAACTCCGTAGCGGAGAGGGCACTTGAAGAAGAAGAAGTATTAATGAAATTATAATGAGTTTGGATTATATTTTATACTATTTTATATGATTTTATATGATTTTATACGATTTTATACGATTTTATACGATTTTATACGATTTTATACGATTTTATACGATTTTATACGATTTTATACTATTATCGGTTAACCCAGAATGTTTATCATCATCATCATCAATCAGCCAATCGCGTCCACTGCTGGACATAGG